GTCATCAGCAAATCCCAGAATGTAAGAAAATTGTCCATTACTGCATTTGGTGGATAAACAGTTGTCTGCGTGGCCTTGTTTGTATCCTAACTGTGTTAGTGTGGTGTGTAGTTTTTCATTCCATGCCCGAGCGGCTTGTTTCAGTCCATAAAGCCCCTTCTGTAATCTGCATACTAAATGAGATTCATTTGGTTTGATGAAAACCCCTTTGGGTTGCTTCATATAAACTCTGAGATCTCGCCATGTAAGAATGCAGTTTTGATGTCTATGTGTCCCACTTGCAGTTGCTTTGAAGCTGCTCTGCTTAAAAGCGTTCCAATAGAGGTATATCTGACCACTGGGGCAAAAGTGGCATCACAGTCTTCTCCATACTGTGGACTGAACCCCTGTGCTACAAGCCTCGCTTTGTAGCACTGTACTTTCCCTTCTGCACCTCGTTTAACTTGAAAGACCCACTTCCAATACCTGTTTGCCGGGAGGTAGCTGGGTAAGAGTCCACGTCTTGTTCTGGGGCAGTGCACTGATTTCCCCCTTCGCAGCATCCTTCCAGACACATGCTTCGGTGCCTGGCATCTTTTCCACCGCTTCCCAGTTGGGAGGCTCTAGGGGTTGTGCCAACCCTGCAAGGTAGGACAGTCGTGGTGGTGGGACACCTTTGTTGGATCCCCATGAGCGTCTGACCTGTGGTCCATCAGCTTCCTCATCAGCTTCCAATGCAGGGATCTCCACATCAGGCAGTTCCTCTTCATTTCTGGTGCTGCTGCTGGGAGTCTGGTCCTCTGCGTCTTCTTCCTCTTCAGGCTCTGTAGATGGTGTTATGGCAATAGAAGGCAGATCCGGACAATCACACGTTTCTGGTGGAAAGTACATGAGATCTGGTGTTTCCTTTTCGGGGTGCTCAGAAAAATCAATGACACTTCCTCTTTTGTCAACTTGGCTTTGTCTGACCTGTCCTCGTTCAAGATCCATAACTCTGTAGCCTTTCCCTCCAGCGGCAGAGCCCACGAGAATGCCTTTTTGTGCTATGGAGTCCAACTTGTGCCTATTTTCTTTGGGAATATAGCCACAGGCAAGGCTCCCAAACACACGAACGTGTGACAGACTGGGAATCCTCCCATGCCAAAGCTCAAAAGGTGTGCGTGTAGCTCCTTTGGTTGGCAATCTGTTCTGGAGACACACCGCAGTTGCGGCTGAATCTCCCCGTACGGGCTGGGGTAGAGATGCATCTTTTAACATGCATCCTGTCATCTCTATTATGGATCTGAATTTTCTTTCTGCAACTGAGTTTTACTGTGCTGTGTATGGAAGACTTTTCACATGTTTAATTCCTTCCTCTTCAAGGAGGTTTCCATCTCACCTAAACAGTACTCACCCCC